AGACTATGAGCAGGGCAGGTTTCTGGGTAGAGTTCAAGAGTTCTGTTCCAGACTGGCTATGTTTTTGAGATGTCTAAGAGACGTGTAATCGAGATGTCAAGTCAGCAATTGAACAAATGAATCTGTAGTTCAGAGGAGAATGGTCCAGGTTGAATACATTTAGAAGTTGTCAGTATAGATAAGATCACCTGAAGAGTGAACGTAGCTAGAAAAGAGGTTCAAGGACTGACCCCAGGGCATCCTAGTCAGAGAGATGAGGAGAAGCAGTTCTGCAAAATGATAAGGATTGGGGTGTGGCTGTAGGGTGGATTTCATATCTATTATTAATAAGCACTTTTTTAATACCTGTTATTGGCAAGGCACTGAGCCATTTGGGAGTTGACATTGTGCCATAAATTTACAATCTAGGATGAAACAAATTACAGACTGAAAAAGAAAGTAGCAGTGAAAGGCAAATACCAGATAATGGTTCAAATAACATTACTAGAGAAGCTTCTTAGAGGACATAGGCATAAGAAATAATGAACTCAAGCCTGTGCCAGCTACATATAAACACTAATGTAAATATGTATCAGTCAAAGAACTTGTCAAGGTTTCATTAAGCTCTTAGGTGGGTAATTGTGTCTTTAGTCATTGCTATCAATTAAACCACTCAGTGAACTGGTTAGGAGGGTTTCTGCTGCAGTTGACTTTTTTTTTTTTTTTTTTTTTTTTTGCGGTATGCGGGCCTCTCACTGTTGTGGAGTGGACTTTCCCGTTGCGGAGCACAGGCTCCGGATGCGCAGGCTCAGTGGCCATGGCTCACGGGCCCAGCCGTTCCACGGCATGTGGGATCTTCCCGGACCGGGGCACGAACCCGTGTCCCCTGCATCGGCAGGCGGACTCTCAACCACTGCGCCACCAGGGAAGCCCCCGACACACTTTTGGATACCCCTTAGAAATGAAAATATTTTCTAGGTATTATGACAAACCCACCCACCTACATATTTTCTGTCATCTTCTAAGACCCCACTATAACCCTGGAATTTTCATATCTCCTTCTCTTCTCAAAAGACTAATAAAAGATTAAACAACCAACAAAATCCCTCTAATTGTGTGATCATTCAGTCTAAGTTGTTCCTTCATTCACTTCCCTGTAGTCTATTCCTTTGTCCTGTGTTTTCCAACTTTGGAAAAGCTACAAATTCATTCAGTTTGTTGGCCTTTCCACATAAGTTGTGTATTGTGCCAAATCTCATTCATTCTCATGGAAATAGGCCTGTAACACAGTGTCCATACCAATATATTAAATAAGTATTGCTTTGTTTCTTAAGCCACTATTCATTGTAACACACGTTTTAAAAAACTCAAAATCCACAAATTCCCTCTTTTAATAGTTTCAATGCTAACTCTGCTATCTGTAGCACATACTTTTAAAAGAATGCCAATAGAGCAGAATTCATTCATTCCACAAAAATTTATTGAGTTCCTCTTATTAGTAGGGGCACTGATGAAATACAGGTGAAAACACACAGTTCCTGACCTCAAGACTCTCAAATTCTTGTAGTAATATCAACAAATAGCTACAGTAGACTGTGCTAAATGCTGTAGCAGAGGAACATACAAAGCACAATAATGGAACAAAGAGACTTGAGAGACCAACAATTTTGCTTGTTAGAAAAGGCCTCCTTTAGGAAACACTTGTGCTGGGTCTGGAAGGTGGAGTGGAAATTTTCTAGGGGGAAAGAAAGAAAAATTTAAAAATTTGAGCCCCTTCTATGAGCCAGACACCTTACATAGAGTATTTAATATACTACTCTCATAAGACTTATCAGACAGGTTTTTATTATTACATTTTTAATAGAATTTTTAAAAGATTAAGTCATTTGTTCCATGTTACAAAGTGGGTGAGCTATGGAGACTGATTCAAGTTCTGTGTGTCTGATTCCAAAATTGTCTATGCTCTTTCCATACTGCTTCCCAGCAGGGCAGAAGGATATATGATTCGTAGGTTATTGTTTTGTTTTGTTTTGTATTTAAATTTTATTTTATTTATTTTTTATTGTTATTATTTTTTCTGGCTGTGTTGGGTCTTTGTTGCTGCGCGCAGGCTTTCTCTAGTTGCAGCGAGTGGGGGCTACTCTTTGTTGTGGTGCATGGGCTTCTCATTGTGGTGGCTTCTCGTTGTGGAGCATGGGCTCTAGGTATGCGGACTTCAGTAGTTGCAGCACTCGGGCTCAGTAGTTGTGGCACCTGGGTTCTAGGGCACGCGGGCTCAGTAGTTGTGGTGCATGGGCTTAGTTGCTCCGTGGCATGTGGGATCTTCCTGGACCAGGGATTGAACCCATGTCCCCCGCATTGGCAGGCAGAGTCTTAACCACTGCACCACCAGGGAAGTCCCCTGATTAGTAGTTCTAAATCCTGTATGACACCATCTACATAAAGTTCAAGAACAGGCAAAACTTAGCTATGATGAAAGATGTCAGAATAGTAACTATGTTTGGCAGAGGTGATATTTGGGGAGCAGGAGGGAGACTTTTGGGGTACTGGTCAGGCTTCACAGGTTTATATATGTATAAATTCGTTGAGCTGTACATGTAAGATTTGTGCACTTTATTGTATGTAAATTACACCTCAAAAATCTACATGAAAACATATTTGCTTCATGCTCTGGTTTTTATAGGTCAAGAAAGTTGATCTCTGGATTCTCATAATGCCTTTTTTATTGACAGGCTGCTTGTTGTAGATACTTATTTTTCTCTAAATAAAATGGATTAATTACAAGTAATGACAGTGAATCAGTCTTGTCTCTCTTAAGCATAGGTCTTTACTATAATCTGCTTCCTAACAATCCTAACTTCCAAGATAATAAAATTGTGGATTTTAAGAGATGAAGAGCTGCTTAGAGGCTTCTAGAAGGGTTGCCACATGGGTCTTTTTGAGACTTTGATGAAAGCGAAACTATAGACCTCCTCCCCAAAAATGTACTACGCACAAAATTTTGCATGGGATTTTGAGATTATCACACCACTTAGGACCCACCTAGCAGCCAAAGATCTCAAATTAAGATTCTCTGAACTAACACAATCATTTTCCTACAGGTGAAAAAAAAATAGGCCCAAGGAAGGAAAGGATCCTGTTTAGGTGCTGAGGGAAGACAGAACCCAGACATTCTGATGCCCAGACATTTATGCTGTTCACTCCAACAGCACCTCTTTAGATATCATTAGATCTCCTTTTCCCCAAGGCCTCCATCTGGGGAGACCTTGAGTTCAGAAGAACTTCCATAACATCTTGTATCCTACCCTTTGTAATTGGAATCACATCAGGAGCTGGTCAAATTTTACCTTGTGCTTATTGGAGAACAATACGTGCAAAGCTGAGTTGTGACGTTAGTCCTTTTTTCACAGACTGTCTCAAAGCCCAGAACTAAAGTTAAAATTAAAATGTGATAAAAGTGTTAAAAGTTTTTCTTGGGTTTCCCTGGTGGCGCAGTGGTTGAGAGTCCACCTGCCGATGCAGGGGACACGGGTTCGTGCCCCGGTCCGGGAAGATCCCACATGCCGCGGAGCGGCTGGGCCCGGGAGCCATGGCCGCTGAGCCTGCACGTCCAGAGCCTGTGCTCCGCAACGGGAGAGGCCACAGTGGTGAGAGGCCCACGTAATGCAAAAAAAAAAAAAAGTGATAAAAGTTTTTTTTTTCTTTTTTCTTTTTTAATTGTTTGTTTTAGAGAAATCAACCCTGAAGTGTTGCCTATATTTACACTGTGAAACTTAAAACTTTATTCTCTGCTGATTTTTATAACACTGGAAAGAGCCCACTGAACTTACTCTTTGTTCTCTAAACTTTTCAATGGTCTCTGATTAAAAAAATAAAATTCCAGCCTGACCCAGGAAATTTGTCCAATCTGTGCCCATTCAGTTTTTCAGTTTGGAGCAGAATTCTTGCACCCAATCCAAATAGAGACTGTGAGAAGTGAGAGGACCCAGAAAGCCTTTTCTTCTGTGTGAAAAGGCCTGATTTTAAGTGGACCAATCAATGAAAGAAAAGGGCTCAAGCTGCAGCCTACAAATTACTTTGAGTTTAGTGTGCTTGGGATGAGGTGCAGAAATCACATAGAACTGTAGGTAGACATGGAATAAAAACCATGTGCACATGCATTCTATCTGCAAAGGATTTCCTAGGTACTTACTAAACTATTCCTTCTGTGCAACCATCTTTTGCTTTTCTAGCAGCATGATGTAAGCTTGCATTTCTTGAACACTTTACCATATGTGCCAGGTACTGTTCTAAACGCATATTATTTTAATTTAATCTTCATAAAAACCCTTTAAGGTAGTCTTATTACTATGATCATTTTATAAATGAGCAAACAGGTTTTCAAAGGCCAAGTAACTTGGCGAAGGTCACAGAACTTGTAAGTCGCGAAATTGAGCATCACATACAAACATCTGGCTTAAGTACTTGGGTTCGTTCGTCCTTCTCTGGTCAAATAAATAAGTAGTGATACATTAAAGACTGGCAAAAACAAAGATTTTCCTAGGTACTGTATGTATTATTTTCACCCAAACCTCCAGCCTTTCTTATTGATGGAAACCGGGTCGGACACACGGAGTGGACAGGGGGCTTCTGGTAGGAACGAGGCTCACGGAAGGAGACAGGGCGGGGGTGGGGTGGGGGCGTGTCTTTTAGAGGGCGTCGTGGCGCGTCTTTTAGAGGGCGTCTTGGCGCAAGGAAAGGCTCCTCCGGGGGTCTCCCCTCCCGGCCCCGACCGCCAGCCTCCTGTAGCCTCTGGGCCCGCAGCAGACCGCCACATCGCCGCGGCCTGGCCCCAACGCCGTGCGGTCCAATCATCGGCGCGGCCTGGCGCCCCGCCCCTCCGCCGGGGCTATATAAGCCTCGGCCTTGCCTGCTGCATCAACGCAGTTGTTGCTCGGGCTTCAGCCAGTGATCACACGAGGAAAGGAGGCCACGTCCCTGTCCGCGTTCGGTTCCACCCTCCCCACGTACCGAGCGCCTCCTCTCTGCGGCCGCCCGCTGAGCCCCGCCGCTGGCCTGGGCCCCCTCCCGCCTCCCTCCTCACCTCTCTATGTGTCCGCGGCTGGCCGGCGCGATGCGGCTGGGCCCGAGGCCCGCCACGCTGGGGCTGCTTCTGCTGTGCGCCGCGGCAGCCGGCGCCGGGGAGGCCGAGGAGTTGCACTACCCACAGGGAGAGCACCGCGCCGACTACGACCGCGAGGCGCTGCTGGGCGGCCAGGTGAGGCGGCCAGGCCGGGGGCTGGGAGGGCCGGGCCTCGCAGCGCGGCTGCCGCGGGCTTTGTCCCGGGACAAAGGGGGCGGCCGGGCGAGGCCTGGCCGGGGCAGCCTGACAAAGGGGGCCGGGCGGGGCGCAGCTCACTCTCCCGTGGACCCCGGGGGCTGTAAGGCTGAGAAAATAGCGCGGCCGAGGAGCCGGATCCCTTCTACCCTCCCTACAAGAGGCAGGATCACTGAGGGTGTGTAGGGGGCAGGGGCCTTGGAGAGCAGGTGTGGGTCACCCCAAAAGCCCTCGGCAAGGGTAGCTCTATTTTTCTCCACCATTTTGCCCTCCTGATAGTAATGCTTGACCACCCCCTGTATATCGCTTACCCCCCGAAGGAAGAAGTCGATGAATATGTTAAACTCGCCCCCGAAGAGCAACACAAAAGACTGAAGTCAATCATAAAGAAAATTGACTTGGACTCAGATGGCTTTCTCACCGAAAGTAAGGACGTCCTACACAACTAACAATGGAGACATCCCTTTGTAGGAGACAGAAATACAAACATTTAAGCAGGGTGTCAGTTGAGTGTAGATTGCTAGTGTTCCAATCAATTACAGGTACTGTGTGAGAGGGAAAAAAGGACATGGTGAGTAGGTTTTATACCTGGAAATCTTTAGACATAGGATACCAACTAACACTCAGTGCTTTCTCCAGTAATATATAAACATCACTGACCCTACATGGTATGTGCAAGTCATACCTAGAGCAAACGCCCTGCTCCTCACATGACTTTTTATCAATATCAACATGATTCACTTTAGAGAAACATGCTAAAAACCTTCTTAAGGCATTAAGTGGTTTATTGCTCTTTTGATATATGCTTCATTAGAATCTTAACAACTTGCTTCTTTTTATAAGCAAGTAGAAAAGGACCTGTTGCATGTGAATTATGTTTATCACAAATTATTTTAACTGGTAGAGGCCTTAGAATCATTATGTCCACCTCTTTTTGTAAGGAGGAAGCCCAGAGGCATAAGTGCCTTGTTCCAATGAGTGGCAAAGCCAGGATTAGAACCCATATCTCCTGCACTTAATTCAGTCTTTAATATCCTTCACTTAAAAAAACAAAGAAACAAAAAATAAAAACAAAGTGAGTGCTCTTAGGTAGATTCTAGAGTCAGAAATGAAATGCACAGATTCTTAAAAGAATATTCCAAATAAATTGCTGTGCATCTGCCTCACCTCATTGCTTAATTCATGTGATGAACCCGATCAACTTTCCAAGTTGATCCTCAACAAAAATTCAGTAGCTGTTTTCTTATAACTCTTATTTAAATGCTGTTCAGCATCTGAAGAATGAAGTTGCTGGAGGGAGAATTATAAGCTGATTAGTAAATTCAAGATGTGTTGTCAATGAAGTATTCACATTGGTGCCCTCAGGAATATTAAGGTTTTGTTCCTTGTACTTAAACAACGGAACCTTTCGACTAATTATCCAATAAGAATAGGTCCATCTTTGGTTACACTAGAGAGCACATAAAACAAGTTGATTTGGAAGACTTGGTGCTATTTATCTGTAAGGGCCTACATGTGTTCAAATATTTAATAGTAAGCTTTTTAAAAAGTCAAAATTAAAAGGAACTTAGTCCAAATCTTCATTTTATAGATGAGAAAACAAAACCTAGAGAGGGTAAACTTATTCCTTACGGCAGAGCTGAAGTATGAACCCCTGTTTCTGACCTCTGTTTTGTTCTGTATTCTGTTAAGCCATGATGATCATTCTACTTGAGGACTGTTCAGGGAATTTTGCTTATTTGCACTTTAAGGGCCAGGCCTGGACTCAGGTTCTTGAGAGACAGCTAAGTTCAGTTTGGGCTTTGAAGCCAAACATGGGTTTGAATCTGGACTCTGCTACTTACTAGCTGTGAGTCCTCAATTCCAAACCTCAATTTCCTGAACTGTAAAACAATTATTATAATTGCCTTGTTTTGAAGATTAGAGACAAAGTATATAGAGGACCTGATATATAATAATTGTTCAATACATGGTTGCCATAATTATTCTGCCCTGATTTAGAGTTTCAGGAGAGACAAAGTGTCTTTACTTTTCTATTCACCTGACCTCCCCCAAACCAATAGAGGAGTACCACTCTTTAAACCAGATGGTGTATTATCTTTAAACCAAATGGGTACTCTTGCTTCCTTGCAAATATTCATGTTTTTCTTCCCCCCCATTTTTTCTATAATGCAGTATAGTAAATATTTCTATGATAGATTTTTAAAAGTTGATCTGAAAGTGGACATTCGCAATTTAGAAATTTTTCCCCTATGTCTACAGGTACCCAGTTAAGACAGACAGCTATTACAAGAAGGGCATAAATCATAATTGCTACCCATAACTTTAAAAAATTTCCTCCAGATGCTTTATGACATAGTTAAAGGGAATGTACTGTAACAATATTTCTCAAACTTCAGTCACTTGAGTACATTTTTCACAATTTAGGCCCTATTTACTTATCTGTTATTTCCTTAATATAGTCTTGATTCAACTTAATGTAAAATGTATTTTAAAGGAAAACTTGATATTTCATAAATGAAGAACACTATTTTTTCCAATACATATTAAAAGAAATGGGTAGTTATTCAAATATTTGTGCTTCCTGAGATATCTGTGATAATTAGCAAAAGTTATCTGCAATTTTGGGGGTAATATGTTTTAAAAGTCAAGTGCTATTTTGGCCAATTGGTAGTTTATTTAATAAATACTTGTTGAGCCAGGTGCTTTCTAGGCATTTGGAGTACCTCAATGGACAAAACATACCAAAAGTCTCTGTACTCAAAGAGCTTACATTCTGTGTAGATCATATATTATAACATTCTTAAGACTCCAAACAGCTCTCCCCACCTCCTACTCCTATTTCTATGAATACAACTAGGCCAGTTCTCACTCACTATTTATATACATTAAAGATTTTTTTCTTCTTTTAAAGAATGTTTAGAAATTCTCACTCCTTTCAAGTATCAGAATTGCTATCACATTTATTGTGTTCTGGGAAATTCTCATAGGTGAACTCAGTTCATGGATTCAAATGTCTTTTAAACATTATGCTATGCAAGAAGCGAAACAACAGTTTGTTGAATATGATAAAAACAGTGATGGTAGTGTGTCGTGGGATGAATACAATATTCAGATGTATGATCGCGTAATCGACTTTGATGAGAACACTGCTCTGGATGATACAGAAGAGGAGTCTTTTAGGCAGGTGAGTACGAGTGCACAAGCTTTTGATCATATCAGTTCACTTTACCTTCCTGCATGAGTGAGCACAAGAGGCCTGAGGTCATAGATTGATTGCTTTGTTCTCTAGGCAATCACCTGTCTCACTTCAGTGGTCATTTTGATGGTTTCCTTTCTAGCCAGAATTAGGACCCTTATTCTGGAATACTTCAGTTATCCTTGCATCTGTATTTCTCAGCTGCATCATTTGTCCTCATTTCCAGGGTTGCTTTTTTAGTGTATTTTGAATATGTATCTCAATATTTTTTTTTTGTTATTGAACAGTTGGTTTTATTATTATATTAAGAAGACTGTAGAGGCCTATTCCCATTTTTAAGCACATAGTTTTATATAAAATAACTCTAAAATTTTTAAAAATTGTGGTAAGGTACACATAACAAAATTTACATTTTAACGACTTTTAAGTGTGCAGTTCAATATTGTTTAGTACATTCACATCGTTAGGCAACCACCACTCGACTTTCTGTCTCTGAATTGAACTATTCAGGGTACCTTGTATAAGTGGAATCATAACATTTTTGTGTGTGTGTGACTAGCTTATTTAACTTAACGTTCTCAAGGTTCGTCCATGTTGTAGTATGTGTCGGAATTTCCTTTTAAGGACAATAATATTCCATTATATGTATATATCACATTTTGTTTATCCATTCATCAATCAATGGACAGTTGAGTTGCTTCAGCTTTTTGGCTATTGTGAGTAATGTTGCTGTGAACGTGGGTGTACAAATGTCTTTGTGACCCTGCCTTTAATTCTTTTGGGTATATATCCAGAAGTGGAATTGCTAGATCATATGGTAATTCTGTTTTTAATTTTCTGAGGAACTACAATACTGTCTTCTATAGTGGCTGCACCATTTAAAATAACTTATTTTTGAAGATTCAGTATCACTGTGAGTTCTGTTGTGTCTCATTGTTTAATTTGTTGAAATATATTTCTTAAGCAGAGTTGAAGAAGACAATATTTAGGAATCAGTAGGAACTTTTAAAGACTTTTTACTTAGTAATTAGTAGGAACTTTTTAAGACAAATTACTATAAGCTTGAGAAATTACTATTTCAAATACTGTTGTATTTCAGAGGTAATTTTAAAGACCTTTTTTTTTTTTTTTTTTTTTGCGGTACGCGGGCCTCTCACTGTTGTGGCCTCTCCCGTTGCGGAGCATAGGCTCCGGACGCACAGGCTCAGCGGCCATGGCCCATGGGCCCAGCTGCTCCGCAGCATGTGGGATCTTCCCAGACCAGGGCACGAACCCGTGTCCCCTGCATCAGCAGGCGGACTCTCAACCACTGCGCCACCAGGGAAGCCGTAAAGACTTTTTTGTATGTGGAAAAAATAAAACCAAACACCTTGTTGCAAATGTTGTGTCCCAAAATATTAATCAAGGGTGCTTGGAAAACATTTGAGGCTCCTCTATTCCTTAACTTACCTATCCCATTATTAGTATCTACCTTTTAGTTTTTACCATGGCCATATTTTATCAGTGTATATGCTATTTATTTTAGAATCATATTGTCCACTTGAACTCTGTAGGCCATCACTAACTCAAAATTGGTTGTTTCTCTGCTAATGATTATCCATATGCTATGCATATACCACTGGTGTGGAGGTTAAGAGCTCCAGCTTTGGAGCCAGTCTGCTTGGCTTCACATTCAGGCTGACCACTTAACAGTGGTGCAGCTTTAGGTTAAGTCAGACCTCCTTATGCCTCAGTTTCCTCATATCTAAAAATGGGAATGATAATAGTATGGAGAAACAGTAATAAATATTGAGAGTAGCAGTTGGACTGGTAAACTCTTCTATGTGGATTTGAAAGAATACTGTTGAAGAAAGCATGTGTGATTCACATGTTTATCTTTAATATTTATATACAATCACCTTTTGAAAGTTGTTTAAGCATTTGTTAACTATATCAGCTTTAGACTAGTTAGGATTTAATATATAGGGGAAAAATGTCTTTGCTCCTTTTTTTCTCCTTATTTGGGTCGGGTCTTCATCTTACAGCAGACTGAAAAGTGCAAATCAGTCTTTTCACTATTTAGTGCTAAAAAGAAAACAAATGATAATAATGAGATCTGGGATTTGTCTACTAGTTATTCTCCTTTACTATAGGAATTAACTCATCTTAAAAGCTTCATTCGCATTCCAGGACTTTTCTAAAACCAAACCATGGTATGATATTATGACTTCCCTGCCAGAGAATAATACAGAAGTTAAATACAGTATTTTAAAATCTTACTAGAATTAGATTCTGTCCTTTTTTTTTTCCCCACTCAAAAGATTCAATTAGCATCCCATTAAAAATAAGAAACGTGTGTGGTTTTTAAAATCTGTATTCTTTTGGGGGTTGGGGGGTGTGGGATGAAATAATACGTGATGTTGAGGAGAAAATCTTCACTTTGAAGAGGTACGTGACTTGTTAATATAAAGTATTTATGAACAGTTTCTCTTTTAAAAGATTTCTGGTTCTAATGCTATGTTCCCCACCCAGGTACTCAGTACATGTTGATTATAAGACTCTACTTTTAAAGAATGAATTAGATGGACCTTAATAGCCTAAAGGAATTTATGGATCCCTAAAATGAACTCTCAATGGGAGTCCTAATGGTTATTCTTTGACAACACAGGAATATGTCTCTGCATGAAGTTCTATTTATAATACTTTATTAGATTTTGATATATATAGATATAACCCACTAAAAGTGGATGTGGGGTGTAAAGATGAACCCAGACACAGCTGCATTATTATTCAAAATAAAAAATCAAGGATGAAGAATGAATCGGTCTTAATCGAAGTAACAGACTAAACATTATACCAAAAACTAATCATAAAAAGTAATTGGATATCTAAATAAAATAAAATGTTTCTATATGGAAGCCTAATAATAAACAAAAATCAACTTGATACCTGAATTTTATCTTATTTTTGATGTTTCATATAGAGAATAGAGATAGCCTGGAATAATGACCCTCTCAGGCTGTGAAATGTCTGAAAAAGCATTTCTTTATGATCTGATGAACAAGTATAGTCAGCACTTTTAAGCAGGATAATTAAAGTTTGAGGACCAACCTGGCAGAAGCTCAATTGCTCTAACTTCTAAAGCCAGCTGCTGAATGTGCATGTATAAGCAATATTTATTTATATAAGATATTATCTTGCATGTGGTTAATCAGAATAAGACCTAAACTTTTTTTTCTGGTATCACAGGTTGCATATTTCCTCATGTAAAATTTTTAGTCTACCAAAAGATGGCAGTTTTGTTCTTCACAAATTTCTATTACAATATAAAATAAACGAGTATGGTAGTTTCTATCTTTTTACTACTGTATATAGTACTTCCTACTCTCGACTAAAACACAAGGTCTTTATACAGAAGAAAAAAGTGTTGAGGTTTTATGAAACTGATAGTCTTTTGTTATTCTCTCAGAAATTTGCCACTTTGAAAAACGTCTTTCGGTGTATTGACTTCTTTAATATGAGTCTCTTAAATTGTGTTCCTCAAATGACTAAAACTTTTAAAAATCACATTATTTCATTTTATTTTTAAAACTGAGAGATGTAAACCGGAAAATATCTTTTTTTTTTTTTTTTTAAGAAATCTTAGCTGTTGAAAGAGATCCTTTCTTTCCATAGGCAAATTTGGCCAAATTCCGCTCCCTCTTGCTCTGAATTGAAGGGTTCTTTCATAAGGAAATCTAAGCACTTAGTATTTTGAATAGTGATTTATTCAAAAAGAACTTGATTGACTCAACAAAGTACCTCAAGTTCTTATTTTTCTACTTTTCCCCATGTTAAACCTGCACATAACATGTAAATTATTTGGTCTAATTATTTAAAATTATGAAACGTTAAGTTAAAACAGCTATTTGGAAACAGTGTTTTCCCCCTGTCGTGATTGGGTGGATATAACTGGCTAGTGGAATCTGGATGTTTAAAAGACAAATTCTTTGGGGAAAGAAATGAGCCTCTCCACTGTAAATCAATCATCGTAAAAGAACTAGTGTTTCAGTAAATGACTGCTACCTAACCTCTAGTATTCCAAAAAACCAAAAAGAGTATTTCTTTTCAACAGTGAATCACATAAGCTAAAAGCTTCTAAAATATTTGAAATTGTACTTTTTCAAAAATGTGCAGTTTAATACACATAAGTTTATAGAAAGTTTTTCCCAGAAATTCTCAAAATAGAATTTATGCAGGATTAGCAATATGCCACTATTGGCTTCCAAGGCTCTTAATCACAGAATTACCTTTGAGAAATTAAAAGCAGCCTCGTCCCTAATAGCTGCTACTTCTTGATTTCCTATCAGAGTGTACTTGGGGGAAAAAAAGGAAGACAGGTGTGAGAAAGTAGAAAAGGGTATGATTATTTAACCTCGACCTCAAGATAGGCCCTTTTCAGCTTTTGATGTGTTTTATCTGGACATACAGAATTAGCACTGTAAAGAGCCTACAAAGAGTAGACTTCCAAATATTATGTACATTTATCAAAAGTATTCTCATTATAGGACTATTTTTTGAAACCTGTTAACCTGTTTTTGAAAAGTTATTTTGAAGACCAGAAATAGTTAGAAATAGACATACCAAGTATTAATACATAGTCTAAATTTATTGCTTTGGGGACATTAAAAAAATTGTTGAGATTGTTAAAGAAGATAGTGTGTAGTACTGTAGAAAGAACAGGGAGGATCCAAGTTCAACATATTTTAGCTGTTTTCCTGACATCCCTTTCAATAAATCATTTTAATCTCAGTTTTTCTATCAATAATAGTAATACGTATTTGTTTAATACCTAATACTTAAGGTTTCTAATTGCTTGATAGGAATTCTCATCCCAGTTGCTTAACAGAGATTTTTTTCTTATTTATTATAAATTGTTCAATTTATTTAAACAAACAAACAAACAAAAAACAGTTCACCCATTTCTGTCACCTCCCCACCTCCCTACCTCTGGCAACCACCAGTCTGTTCTCTGTATCTTGAGCTTGGTTTGGGGGGAATTTTTTGTTTGTTTGTTTTTAGATTCCACATATAATAGATCATACAGTATTTGTCTTTCTCTGACTTATTTCACTTAGCATAAGGCCCTCAAGGTACATCCATATTGTCTCAAATGGCAAGATTTTATTCTTTTTTATGGGTGAATAATAAGTCCCCTACATTCGAATGAGTTCCATTCGTAAGTCCGATTTGTTTTGTTCGTTAAGTCCAACAAAGTTAGCCTGGGTACCCAACTAACACAATCGGCTATGTAGTACTGTACTGTAATAGGTTTATAATACTTTTCACACAAATAATACATAAACACAAACAAGAGAACATTTTAAATCTTACAGTACAGTACCTTGAAAAGTACAGTAGTACAGTACAACAGCTGGCATACAGGGGCTGGCATCAAGTGAACAGGCAAGAAGAGTTACTTACTGGAGGAGGGAGAGGAGGTGGGAGATGGTAGAGCTGAAGGATCGTCAGCAATAGGAGGTGGAGGGCAAGCTGCAGTTTCACTCACGCCTGACGCTGATGCCACAGGTTCTGGTTGCTTTCTGGATTCAATTCTATCTACCATCTTGAAAAAACGATCCAGTGATATCTGGGTAGTAGCTCTTTCTTTCTTGTCAGAGATGACACGGTAGCACTGGATCGCATTCTGAACGGCTACTGCAACCTTCGTGTACCATTCTACGTTTGGGTCCTGTGCCTCGAAAAGTAACAACAGTGCCTCCTCAAATAAAGAAAATCCCCTTGCCATTTCCTGTGTCGTGAATCTCTTCAGTTCTTTAGTTACTTCTTCTTTTTGTCTCTCTTCATCCTTGCTCTGGGCCTCCAATTCCATCTTTTCGCCTCGTTCCACTCTCTCAATTATTTTCACTTTTGTTTCTATTGTTATCGCTTGGTGCTTCTTAGCAGTACCAGCTACATTACCACTGCTTTTACACTCGATTCCGGACATCCTGGGCTTGAAATAAAGATGCTGTACTACTGTACTGTATACAGTATTGTACAATAAAGTACACAAAAGCACAACTACTTGTAGAGGATGCATGCACGTGACAATGTATGCCCGTCATGTAAACTAACTTACGTGATTGGACATACTGTATATTGGCTATTTTAAATAATGCTGCAGTGAACATAGAGGCTGGTATATCTTTTTGAGTTAGTGTTTTCATTTTCTTTGGATGAATACCCAGAAGTGGAATTCCTGGATCAGGTGGTAGTTCTATTTTTAATTTTTTGAGTAATCTCTATACTGGTTTCCGTAGTAACTGCATCAATTTACATTCCCACCAACAGTGCACAAGAGTTCTCTTTTCTCCATATCCTTACCAACACCTGTTATTTCTTGTCTTTTTTCTAACAGCCAGGTGTGATATCTCATTGTGGTTTTGATTTGCATTTCCCTGATGATTTATGATGTTGAGCATCTTTTCATTTACCTGTTGGCCATCTGTATGTATTTGGAAAGTGTCTATTCAGGTCTGCCCATTTTTTTAGTTGGACTGTTTGGTTTTCTTTGTATTGAGTTGTACAAGTTTTTTATATATTTTGGATATCAGCCCCTTATCATATATATGATTTGCAAATATTTTCTCCCATTCAGTAGCTTTCATTTTATTGATGGTTTCTTTTGCTCTGCAGAAGCCTTTTAGTTTGATGTAGTCCTGCTTGTTTATTTTTGCTTTTGGTGTCAGATTATCCCAGTTGTATAGGTGCGGAGACCAGAGAGGTTAAGCAATTTGCCCTAAGTAATAAGCTAGTGAGTGGCATTGCTGGAATTCAGATCTGAGTTTCTCTGACTCTAGAGCCTGTGTCTCTGTACTGCTTCTAATAAATGTTTGTTATTTGCCCAACTTACCTTCAGAGGGATGATGTGAAGATAAAATATGATAATGGGTGTAAATGTACTTTAGATTTCACGTAGTTATATTTTTCAAAGTATTTTTAATGATGTTATGGTATGGATGAGACCTTTAAACATGTTCAATATTTAATTTTCAAAGCTTCACTTAAAGGACAAGAAGAGATTTGAAAAATCTAACCAGGATTCAGGTCCTGGTTTGAATCTTGAAGAATTTATTGCTTTTGAGCATCCTGAAGAAGTTGACTACATGTCGGTAAGGAAGAAACATTTCAAGACGCCTCTTGAATGACCAGAACTTTAAAACTTGCTTTTACAGAGTAATTAAAATGAATTGTATGGCAAACAGAATTTTGGGAGACTGGAAGATCTAAAGTTTTCCCTGCTTGAGATAAGGAGTGGGAAGAAGGAGGTTTTCTGGTGGGGTGGGGTGGGGTATGCTTATTGGGAGGGAGAAGGTACGGAATGAGTTTTCTTTAATCTCTGTAACATATATGAGCATCAGTCTTTCCCTGGCTAGTTTCTGTTTCATAACCACATTATCTTCAGTGCCTTCCTTGTCTTTTTGTAGTTTTCTGACTTTCCTCTGGTTTTTCAGTATTGGTAACACTAGAACTTCCTATTTAGTTTATAGCATCACTTGTGAAAACTTCTGGTCTGGGAAAATGTATCACATTTGGATCCCTTTTCATAGGGTGTGTGGGGGTAGGGTACAGCTGCCAATGACTAATGATGTTTTTGCAACTTTAGGCATAATGAGTCCTCTCATCCCTTTAGTGCTTAGAAGTACCAGCTCTTCAAAATTTTGTTGGACTCTAGGTTTAATTTAACACTGCTTAAGTCCCTCCTATGACTTGATAAGCTTCTTGAGAACAGAAACTATCGTATTGGAGGGTAAAGATTAATATAAGACATGGCTTTTAAAAAATAGGCTAAACATTTATATTGAGGTCTGTTGCCTGGCATCAGCCTCCAGCCTTGTGGCTTAGTTCCCTGGACATTTCAGGGAGGGGAGATGTAGCTTTTTGTTTAATGGGTCATGGTCAGTTGCTGCTACCTTGTTAGCCAGGCTGCAGATACGTTTTTCATGACCTAGTTTAAGAACAGTGGCACAATTTGTTTAATTAGGGCCAATTAGGGCCAAAAATTGAGCCCTAGCATGGTAGGCAGAGGATGTTAGATCTTGATTACCTGGGGAGTAAGGAAAAGTTGAAGACTGAGGAGGGAAATGACCAATGAAAGCAATGAAATAATTTAGGCATTATATGTTATGGCCCCAGAATACAAGGTGGCAATGGAATGAATTAGACTTGACCAACATTTTGAAGAAAGCATAGACAGGAATGTTGACTGACTTAGCACGGGAAGGGAGGGGGGCAAGAGTCAGAGATGACTGTGAGGTTTGGGGCTTGCTTAACAATGAAAGCCCATTGAAGAATGGGGTGTGTCAGTATGGGGAAGTATGTTCTTTGTGCTGAGTTGGCCTTGATGGCAGCATATAAGGTGTGTGACCATAAATTGGTGTCTCATTCAGAGCAGCTTCATTAATTCCTGTTTACCTTGTTTTTGCATATCCCTTTTTCCCTTTAAGGATATATTTGATATAGGAAAAGGCAGGAGTACAAGATCAACTAAGTGATTCTACTTTGGATTAAAATTTGGAATTTAAAGATATTTTCCTTCATGTAGTTCCAAAAATTATTTTAACCAAGGCAACATTATTGTAATAAGTCTATTGTTTCCCAAGAGGATTACTTGAATGGAGGAATAATCATTTTGATCAGTGATCCTTTTACTGGGTCACAGACTCCTTTAAAAAATATGATACAAACTATGTACTGTGTCCCAGAAAAATCCTATGTATGTCCATGCTCATACACGTGAAGTGTTTGATTATAATTTCAAGAGATTCTCAGATCCTCTCTCTAAAACCAATCTTTGGATATCCAGGTTAAGATCCCCTGGTTTCTATATATAAAATCTGTAACATTTGATTTTAAAAAATGCCAACAACTTGTATTTAAGTGTTATTTCATACAGATGTAGATAAAGCCCCTGGGTTTGACTAGAATGGTAGACTTTTGAGAATACATTTCACTATAGTTGTGATGCTAGAATCCAGATTGAAAGGTATTTGGGTGGCAGTAGGTAACGAGGAAACGAGAACAGTCAGGTATAACCTATGAGAGGAAAAGAAAAACCAGGATGGTGGCTAAAGAGTGCAGCATAGTCATTGGGGACTTGAATGTTTTTAAAGACATAGAAGAAGGAGCTGGTGGAAAAGAGATTGGAGCCTTGGGAGAGGCTGGAGTTAAGAGTGAAAGAAAGCACTCAGGAAATGGGGTAGTATGGGATCTAGGAAGACAGTTGAGGGCTTACCCTAGAGAAGAGGGGGAGAGAGCTTTAACTGCTGAGATCAAAGGCGTAAAATGATGAGAGGAAAAGGCATATATAGAGGTAATTAAAGGTGAGGATGCAATGCTGGGAAACCAGGAAGCATTTCAGAAGACCTGTACCATGTTTAGAAAAACAGGAGGGTCTTTGTCAAGAGTGTATTGGAGAGAGTTAGGGTGAGGCCCAAGGAAAATGGAGGTTTCAACAAACAGCTGTAGAGTGTATGTTAGGGAAAGTGAGGCAGAGATAGACTTCCAAGCTGCAGTGAGAGCCCACCAAAATGGCAAATTAATTTACAAGGACTAGCTTCTATTTTTGTATCTTTCTCTGATTCTGGAATAAAGGAGAAAGTGAAGTGAGTCTGATGTACTAAATGGGGATTGGCATAATAAGAAGAGGACACAAGGGGACATAGGAATGTAATAAGGGAAGTACTGAAGCAGCTGGCCATTAAACCGGGTCATCTTGGGTCAAGTATAACGAGAAAGGGTGTGATCTCTGGGTCAGAGGGGAGTGGTTGGTAAGAAGCCTTGGTAAGCGTGAGGAACAGATTTGGGGGCAGTCTGCTGTGGATAGGTTAGATTGGTAGAAGAAGAAGCAGGGAAGTTGAGGTTGTATAGGGGACTGTCCCATTTCAGGTCTGGGGGTAGAACAGCAGCTCTATTCAAAGACATCTAAGACAATGGTTCTTTTGGGGTTGTTAATAGATTTGAGGGAAAGTGGAATTAAAGAACACAAAAGTAGTAAGATACGTCATTCTTCAGAAGGAGGGTAATGCGCAGAAAATAGGAGTGTGAGTTTAGTGCCGAGGTGGAGTGCTCAATAATGGAAACTTAAGTATGTTGAATTTTAAGCTACTTAATATTGGGGGTTTTATTCCTGCTTCTAAATTCCAATGTTTAGAAAGATTGTCTTGTATGTATGGACAACCAAAATAATTATTCCTAAATAAGTTCTGTAGTGGCATTGATTCAGATGGTGGTGGGATTGAAACTTTTGTGACTAATTTTTTTTTTCTGTGTGTGTGTGTGTGTGTGTGTGTGTGTGTGTGTGTGTGAACGGACATGCAATAGGAATTTGTCATTCAAGAGGCTTTAGAAGAACATGACAAAAATGGTGATGGATTTGTTACTTTGGAAGAATTTCTTGGTGACTACAGGCGGGACCCAAGTAAGTAGCTTGGGGATGTGTGGAAGGGGCGGTGGGGAAGAAGAAAGAAATTGAAAGCCAGTCTTGCTCATTGAGAGTTCTGTTTGACCGAGGAAAATGGAAGAAGAACTGGGCCTGATTCCTCCTTGTTCTGCCAAGTTCAGTAAAATACAAGGGAAACAAAGGGACTTAAAGCTTATCTGAGAATGCTGTTTTTACTCACTTTTAGTTCCACATCTAGATCCAAGCATTTTTCTTCCTTTTCAAACAAATACAATGTAATCATCAATCCAAATGGGTGAGGAAGTAAAGGTTGATATTTTTAAATAGACTTCTGTACCCTTGCATGTAGATCTTGAAAGAGAAGAAAATACAGAATCCTATAAATACTGGAGTAAGACTGGAAGGTGGCTTACTGAGTGTTTGAAATTTGAGGGGTTTTTAAATGCAGCTTCTTCTGAAAGCAGCTGTCTTTTCAGAATTGTTGCTTAAAAGCATCACATTGTGAATGTCACTTTAAAATTACACATGGCATTGCTTTGTAAGAGCACGCAGGAAGCTTTAGTCACATGATGTACGTAAAAACATTACCTAGCTCAAACTTGGGAAAACTGTATCCGAACAAGTAGCAGCAGTTACCAAAATTACTAGTTAGTGATAATAAGCAATAATTTTAAAACTCTGAGTATCACTTTTGAAAATTACTATAGAGTTTATACTTATTTCAGTACTTTTCAGTTAAGTACCTCTGTTTCTTTGGGCCTCCTTTATTTGGTGAGCTTTAAATTCATTTCCTTTATTCTAGGGGTATACCAAACTTCTTATTGGATACATGTGATATTCTTGCGTATGCATGTTTATGTTCTTGGGGTTCTTTTTTAATATATTAAGCAGCAAATGAAGATCCAGAGTGGATACTCGTTGAGAAAGATAGATTCCTGAATGATTATGACAAAGATGCTGACGGCAGGCTTGATCCCCAAGAGCTGTTGTCTTGGGTAGTACCCAATAATCAGGGCATTGCACAAGAAGAGGTAAGTGTTACAGAATTACTCTCTCATCCCCAAATTGGTGCTACTGGTAGTAAAGGAAATTCAAAATCTTAAGCCAAAGAAAGAAGTAGTGGAGTTATTTATTTAGGAATAATGCATTGCTATTTATTGATTTAAATCTATGATCTGTTTCAGATTGTTTTAGATTTTCAAGGAGACAAAGAAGTTAAGATTGTATCGTGTATTAATCTGATAGCACAACAGAATAATAAAAATTTGTATTTACCTATAGGGGCTCAAAATGAGTTATATTAATTTTGCTTTACTTTGAGATATCCTGAATTGGATTTGAGTTGGGGGGAGGCAGAACCCAGCAGAAATTAAGGAAGGAGGTAATGAGAGACTCTGTAGACAGGCCTGGTCACAATGGTTAATATTTTTAGATACTTAGACAATAATGAGTACTTGGCATACCTGAATGGTTTTGACAAATCAAATCACATTAAAATGTGAACATCTTGCTGAAAATGCTTATTACACGACACCTTTTTGTTTTGTTTTATTTTAAAGGCTCTTCATCTAATTGATGAAGTGGATTTGAATAGTGACAGAAAGCTGTCTGAAGCAGAGATTCTGGAGAATCAGGACTTGTTTCTTACCAGCGAAGCCACAGATTATGGCAGACAGCTTCATGATGAATATTTCTATCACGATGAGCTTTAATCCCTGGGTATATCTGAGTAGAATACTGGCTCCTTTTATAGTTTGTTACCAGCTTTACTTTTGTGATAAAATGTTGATGTTATATTTTACATTCTTACATCTTACCACAGTCAAGATTAATGTACATTAAAATTTTGGCCTTTTAGAAGAAACGTAAAACAAAAACCTGATATTTATTTCAAAACATATTGAAGAAATGAAACAATATTGTGCCGTATGACAACAGAGTCTTTCCTAAATATTCCATTTGTTTAGTACTGTATTATGGAATATTTGAGTTCTGTTTCCATACTTGAAAAAATGGAGGATTCTAGAGATGGCTGAACAATATTATTTAAGTAGTATATGACTGAGCTATCAATTTTTGTTTTAAGTAGATTTAATTTGGGAACTGACAGAAGGACATTGTATTTAGTTTTAGCATTTTTGTTTCAAAACCTTTAAAGGAAACTTAGAAGGACTTATGCCTCACATGTTAATGTTGAGAAGTTCTGCTTAATTTTATTTTTTTTTTTATTTTTTATTTTTTTCCGGTACGTGGGCCTCTCACTGTTGTGGCCTCTTGCGTTGCGGAGCACAGGCTCCGGACGCTCAGGCTTAGCGGCCATGGCTCACGGGCCTAGCCGCTCCGCCGCATGTGGGATCTTCCTAGACTGGGGCACGAACCCGCGTCCCCTGCATCGGCAGGCGGACTCTCGACCACTGCGCCACCAGGGAAGCCCAATTCTGCTTAATTTTAAAATGGTTTCTATAAAAGGTTTTATTGTATCAAATAGAACTTTATATTTTTGCATATGTATAGATAGTAATTATATTTAATGTGTAACTATAGCATTATGGTGTGTGGAATTTGACATTGTCCAGAACTCTTCTTTTTTTTGATTGATTAAAAATGAAATGTCCTATCTTTTTATATGTTTGTTTGTTTTTCTTTAATCTTTCAGGTAAACCTTGAATTTAGCAAAAGTTTTGTTGTATTATACATTACTTCACCTCATCCATTCCTGTATTTTATTTGGGGAGTGAATGTTCTCAAAACTCTGTTAAATTATACTCTTGCTGCATATTCTTATTTTGCCTTTTTTTTTTTCCTAGATAAAAGAATCATATTATAATTGAATGTGCACCTGACACATTTCAGTTGCTATTGTGGCAAATGTGGTCTTGCTATTTGGGGCTAGAAATAATCATAAGAACTACACAGGTTGAAATCACCAGTAGAGCTGGTTAGTTATCAGCAGTAGAGTGCAAGATCAGTCATACTGAAATTAAAATCATACTTGATAAGCATTTGTCCACACCTAAATGGTCAGTTTTAACCTTATTCAGGAAGTCAACTTATTACCTTTGTGGGGAGTAAGAAAAGTGAGAAGGTGAGAAATTGGTTTTTTCATAGCTTTGACTCACAGATAGTTTTTCTTTCTGTTTTCTTAAATTACTTTTGTGGGTGAAGAGGTCAGCTATGCATTCTATTAATCTTTTCCGAATCTAAAGTTGTCTCCTTTATAGCACACACAGCACTGGAGGGCTCAGCCAGTCTTTATGAGTTACTAGAGAAAATCTGAAGCCCTTTTCTAATAGAATTAACTGCATCAGCTTACCTTTCTACTGCTCCCACCTCTGCTGATGTGAGTCGCGAATGCAAATTGTAACCTCTCACACTTTAGTGATAGCTTGCTTACCCTGGTATCTAAAGTACATGGTTTTCATTTTAACTTACACAATACCTGTCTGGCCTTTTAAGAATTAAAGATATACTATTATCAGTCATCTGCTACTTGTCAGACTTATTGAAGTTGGGATATTTGGAATAACCAGTTTGATTAGCATGCTAACCATTTGTTTTACTCACTAGATTCTCCAAAATCTATACCAGAATTGTTAGATCATTGGATATGGCTTTCATTTTTTATCTTAATGAGTTAAGAGTTAGCATTCTACATTGTCTTGATTTCATGCAGATATAAGAATTTTGGTGACATTATTAGCGGTCACAAATATCTGTACTCCTTTAGTTCCTGGCATAAAGAAAATTACACTTTCCAGCCCCCATGTGGGTGAGCAAGGGCTAGTTCTGACCAGTTAAATGTGAGTAGAAGTGGTAAGTGTCACTCCCAGACCAGGCCAGTGACAAACCTTTGCCATGGCATTGTAGAGGATGCCTCACTTGAAATGGTGAAGCCACAAGATCAAAGTAGTCTTGATTTCTGAGTGACCACATGGAGGTCAGTTGGACCATCAGTGGACTTTGCATGATCAAAAAATAGACTTTTATTATGTTAAGCTACTAAGATTTTGGTGTGTTTTTTTGGTTTTTTGTTTTTTAAACTACAGCAGAGCCCAGCCTATCCTTACTGAGTGAAGATTTAGTATTAAACAATTGGCTTTTATAAGCATATGGAGAAGAATCATCATCTACTTGAATGGAGTTTCTATATCTTCTGCTAATTCAAAATAGAAAAGTTTATTTGTAAGGCTTTTATTTGGATTTAAATTTTAAATAAGCCTCTTTAAAAATAAAACTTTAGGGCTTCCCTGGTGGCGCAGTGGTTGAGAGTCCGCCTGCCGATGCAGGGGACACGGGTTCGTGCCCTGGTCCAGGAAGATCCCACATGCCGTGGAGAGGCTCGGCCCATGAGCCATGGCTGCTGGGCCTGCGCGTCCGGAGCCTGTGTTCCGCAACGGGAGAGGCCACAACAGTGAGAGGCCCGCGTACTACATACACAAAAAAAATTATGTTTAAAACTGGTCTTTTAGGTTTTGCTTCATTACTTAAAATGAGAGTAAAGATAGAATGAGGCTTTTTGAATAAGCTGATTCTGGCTGAAGGACTTAATTACTTCCATTGTTTGACTTCAGGTACTACTTCAGAATGGAAAAGTTGGCAGTATTTGCACAAATCAGTTCATATGTGGTTCTGATTGGGCAAATATACAGGACAGAAAATGACTTTCTAGTTTGTGGTATGAACTTAAAGGAAGCCAGGACATTCATAGTAAAAGCCATGATGTCATGTTTGCCTTACTTATTAGTTCTTTCCTTTGCAGTTTTGTTTTTTTTAAAACAGACCTTATTTTTTGAGCAGTCTTAAGATTCACAGCAAAATTGAGCAAAAAGGTAGTTATTTCCCATACGCTCTGCTCTTTGCATATGCACAGCCCCCTCCACTATCAAAATCCTGCACCAGAGTGGTATATTTGTTACAATTGATGAGCCTACATTGACACATTATTATCACCCAAAGGCCACAGTTTACATTAGGATTCACTCTTGGCCTTGTACATTCTGTGGGTTTGGACAAATGTATAATGATAAATCCACCTTTATACAGAGTAGTTTCACTGCCCTAAAATCCTCTGTGCTCTGCCTTTATTCATTCCTGC